AGTGAGTCCCGAGTGCTGAAGCAGGGAGAGGATGGGATGAGGAGTGAGAATGTGCTGCTTCTCCAATCTGGGGAGCATTAAATGATAACGGAGACGTGTTTGTGTAGCGGTTGCATATGGGCTTGCTCCCTTCAGCAGTTTCCCATTAATAAGTCTTTGTGAATGTTCCCGGGCATATAAACTTTAAATAGATAGCTTGTCAGCTGGGAACTGAACCTTTCATAGATCTCTTTGATGGAACAGTTTTTAAGAACAAAACCGGGGACAGGGAGGGAGAGTTTGCAGCCCTCCATCCATAGAAGATGAATGGGTTGCTGGAAGATGCTGTCAGAGAAGCTAAACAGCTCTTTGGATGATGGCAGGTTTGCTGCCCAAAGGGGCTCCTCCATCCCACACCCTTTTCTGCCTCACAAAGTATCCCTGCCTTCAATTTCTTTTAAGACCATCTTGTTTAGTGAGGTCTTGGCTGTGTTAAAGAAGAAACTCGCCTCCTTTCTCTGCTCATTTCTGGAGGTCCAACTTTGACCTACTCAAGCAGGAGAGAAGAGCTCCTTGCAAATCCCTTATAAATTCTTGTTTATGGTTTTTTCCCCTTAATATTTCACGATCTCTGGGAATCAGAAGGCAAGAGAGCACAACAGCTGAGCTGAACTCACCAAGAGTTGCCCAGTGATTGCAGACACAGAATTTTAGGACATCAGGCTTCTAGCTCATGGGTCTGAATGCTGGCTGAAAGTAGTCTCAGGTGGATGTGAGATGGTTAAAGGTGAAAATAATCACATTTTCACTTTTAGAGTTTTCAGCCAGATGTAGCACGGTGCCTGCACCTTTCTCCCGTCCATCTCAAGGCTCCTGGCTGCTGTGCTGAGAATCAGAGCTCCCTGGGTGACAATTTAGAGGGGTGTCGAGGGAGATCAGAGGGGTGGAACGGCTTGGGTATGAGGAAGGCTTAAATAACCCAGTTCTCATCAGCATAGGGAAGGGATGACGGATGGAGTAGGTGACCAAGGTCTATAAAAACCTGAGCGGCTGGGAATGATTACTCTTCTGCACAAGGCGAGAACCAGAAGACATCAGATGAAAGAAGCTTTAAAACAAAGATAGGACTTCACACAACCCATCATTCGGCTCTGCTGCGTTAGCACAAAGGTGCAGCACCCCAGGTAGGACCCGGTGGTGATGGGTCCAACTGTTTTGAAATGGTGTGGATCAATTCCCTCTCATCTTAAAGCTGGAGTTTCAGAATTTCTCTCCACCTGTTTGAACAAATCACGGTGGGTTTTGGTCCCTATAGCTACACTCAGGTTTTGCTTTATCTCCAGGGGTGATGAAGTTTTTCATGGTATACAGCTCATGAGGGATGACCTCCTCCTCTGACTCCAAGCAGACCTTGCTCAGAGGACTTGGAAAGGAGCTGAATTGCAATGCTGAGCCCCCAACGGTGGTACCCTGTCCTCTGAGTAAAGCAATGGTTCAGAGAGGGAGGTTAGACCACGAGGGCAGGCTGCAGGAAGGTAGAAGTCATGTACCATGGTGCTAAATGCCCATCTCCATGTCATGTCAGGAGATGACACGGGTGTGGAAATGAAGTCCACCCTGAGAGTTCCCCTGGATGGTGGAGGAGGTGTTTGGGGATACTGACTGCTCTTGGTTTGTGCCACCATCTGCCTTCCCACAGCCCTGTGCTAAGCAAAGCTTTCTCATTGCTTTCGGAGCCCTGGGGAGCTGAGCTGCACCCTTGTGTTAAATAGAAAACTCTACCTCGGCCTCTAACTGGGGCCTCTCCTCCCAGGGGTGTCATCGCCCCTTGACCCTTAGGAGTTCCCATCTCCCTGCCTCCACTTTAAAGAGCATTTTCTCAGTCTGTGTGAGAGCAAATTAGATTCTGGTCCCCTCTCCCAAGGTCAGGACCTGTCTGGAAATGGCTCTAGTTCACCTCTCTGTGTAGTCTTGAGATGCCCAGATGCAGTAGATATTGGGGGATGGTATGATGATCTCCAGAGCTTTTCCTTTCTATGTTAAATAACTGGAAAAGAGCATTATTTTTTTTCATTAAAAATTAATTTGGAAGTGGTGAGGTTTCTGAGGATATAATTAGCTGAGTTCTCTTCTTCCATCAGCTCTCTCCAAAGCTTCTTGGGATCACTCTTTGCTCTTTTCCTCCTCATTTCACTCTTTTAGTCCTTTTGCAACTTGCTTAGGCTTCCCTGGACACCGCCTAGGGCAGATCCTTGCTGGTCTCAAACAGAAGTGAAGACAAAGTAATCAATACAGGAGATGAGATCTGGCCCAGTTACTCCTCAACGAGACAGCTCTGAAAGAGCATTTCTTTGTATCTAGACCTCTCTTCTTTCATGTGCTGCATCATCTAACACCATTTCAGCTCTCCAAGTGAAAACCCCACTCTCTGAGTGGCTTTTCTCTAAAAGTATGGGGGCTGGCGGGACAACTCTCCTGGTCCTAGATGGGAGGATGAAGGAGGGAGATGGGGATTGTGGGCAAACCTTCCCGTGAGTGTTGCTTGCCTGAGCATCTCTCTCATGCCATCCTGGGTGTTGGCAGCTGTACATCTCAGATGACCAGTGGTTTGTTTGTAATAACGAGGGCTGACGGATTGATTTACAGCTGCTTGCAGCCCAACCAGACAGGCTTTGCAGGCTCCCAGCACGTATGTGGGTTCTGCACTGGGGGAGTGAGATAGACTCTTCCTAACTACATCTATGTGCCTTTTGGGTTGTTTTTGTTTTCATTCCCCCCCCCTTACCCTAGTTCCTGTTTGTTTTCTTCCTGTTTTTTTGTTCAGTCACCCCAGCCATCACCTGGATGTCTGACCCACCACTTCAGCAGGTATGAGGCCAAGGCACAGACTTTATTTCCAGGAGCAGGATCTCCGCATAGGGCAGCTGGTGTTCAGC